ACTAGGCCTGAGACATGGAGGCGAGAGCAAACCAAACTGGATTCATGTGAGTAGATGTGTAGATTCAACCTGCAGTGTACATCGCTCTGCAAACAAAAGAGCTTCTGCATCAATGTTTTTTGCATTTAGAATCCACCGGATTAATCTTTCCTGAGAAAATGCATCCAGAGTGGGAGTTACCGGAATGCCGTGGATGAAAATCAGCATTTGTGGCGATGACGAGTTTGCAACTCTGTAGCCATTTCTGAAAACATCCGGGGAAGCTCTCCTGCTGTGTGTGTGTGTGTGTGTGTGTGTGTGTGTGTGTGTGTGTGTGTGCGTGCGTGCGTGCGTGCGTGTGTGTGTGTGTTTTTTTTAAGGTCAACGTGAATAATTCACCATAAAAATTCAGCTTGTGTTCAAAATTCAAGCTTCTGTCTGTTATAATTCATCACAAACGTGCATAAAAAATTTATTTAATCAAATCTGCTTAAATATTTGAAGTAATCTGTGTTTTATTACAATAATTCAGCGTGAATCTCAGCACGAGGGAAGAAGAAGAAGAAATGATCTTTTCTATAGCGCCTCTCAGGATAAAAATCATGAGGCGCTTCACAAAAACAAAAAATGTAAAAATATAAAAAATGATTTAGAAAATGATTAAAAATATATTTAAAATGAGCAAAAAATAGACAAATGTGATTAAAAATGTAAAGAAAGAGAGTGAATAGGAAAGAGGGAAATCAGTGGAAAGGGAGGGAGAAAAGCAACAGCACACATGTTTAGTGCCTCCTTTTCCTAATAAGAATGCTGTTAACACCTTTTGAATGGAGTCAGAAAATCCAGCGTCTGAACCGGACCTCAGGCGTGTTTACAGCTCCGCTCCATGACGTACGTCACACACACTCTGAAATCTGCTTCTAAAGATATCCCAGAAGACCGTATGTTGGACATGTTGGACATGCTGGACATGCTGGACATGCTGGACATGCTGGACATGCTGGTCGTGCTGGACAGGGACACGAGAGCATTACAACCCAACTAACCACTAATGACCCTCAGAGCTGCAGCTGCCACTCGCTTGTTCTGTTTCAACATTCATGGTTGGGTTACACCAAGTTTTAAACGACCGAGGAAAGGAAACGGCTGTAAAACTCCCACGGTTTCCATGAACAGTTTTCCATAAACTTCTGTGTACGAGGGGATTTTTCCAGAGTGGTTTTCCTCTTCCACGAGGTTGGGTTGGGGATATTTCAGTTTTCTCAGGCTTTCTCTCATCCCCTGCTACCATCTGACAATTCCTGCTGCAAAACGTGGTGAAAAAGTTTGGGATTGCTTGGAAAGTTTGTTTTCCACAGAAGCACAAAAGAAATTGGACTGAATTGGAAATTATGCGAAGGTAAATCCTTTTGCAGCTGACTTTAGAAACTCGCGCAGTAATCTGATGATGAGATCTGACCTCAGGCTTGCCTCGTATCATCCGGCTCAGTAGGGTTCAGATCCAGAGTCAGGGTTCTGGCCTCTTTGATTTTTGCCGACAGCTTTTGGAGGATTGTTCTCGCATCATCATCCGTGTTTTGGGATGAAACTAGCTCCCATCCAGCAGCGTCTGCAGGGAACGGTGTGATATTTCTCCTCTATTCTGTAAAAATCTCCCGTTTCACTTCCAGATCATCATGGTGAGGAATGCAGCAGCACAACGGGATTATAATAATCAGTTATTCCTATAAAATCGTTACCCTGGATTAGCAGCTAGACAAGCAGATTAACGCAGAGGACTGAGATCCTTTTTTTCTTCTAGTTGTCTCATTGATTTGCTTGTAAGCTGCATAAAAATGTGATTTTCCTTGGAAAATAACTGCTACTTAAAAGTTTTCATCACTTTGATTATTTTGATTCCGCGTTTCTGGACTATCTGAATGAAAAAAGCCACAAACGTCAACGTTTCCCAAAGCCAGTTATCACGATCGGAACATAGAGAAGCTTCTTTGCTGTTTTGTTTCTGAAGTTGGGTTTAAAACATCTTTTGATTCTGTGAGCCCGTTGCCATGGTAACTAACTCATTTCACGCCAAGAAGCACCACATAACAACCATATCAGATATGTGACAAGCTGATTGAACCTTTATTGTGGTTGTCATGACTACTGCCCCCTACAGGTAAGACACTGACCACTAACACAACCTCAGTTAAAAAAAAAAATCATTTTGTTCTACAAACACATGAAATCTGTTCAGATTTAGTCTACAAACTGTCGGTTTGTGTTTGATAAAGAAAGGAAAACCCTGTCGTGACTTGCGGGAGGCGTCTACCCAGGACGTGCAGAGTCGACACGACTGCTGAGGTGAGTAAAAATAAAGTCTCGTTATTACAAAAACGGGAACAGAAGAAGCCCTGGGAAGTCCAGTGAGTTGATGACCGGTTGATAATAGTCCAGAGTTGAGATCTTGCGATCGAAGGGGATGGTGGCGAGCCGAGGTGAGCGAGGGCGAGGTGGGTGAGGCAGCGGAGAGGAGATGGGACAAGTGCCGTGGAGGAGGATGGGAGGTGGTCCTGAGGGTTCCGGAGTCTCTGGCGGCGAAGGTGGTGGAGGTGGTAGAGGATGACCCGGACAGGGCAAAGCAGACGAGGGTTCGGAGACGAGTCCAAAGTCAAAATCCGAGTAATCCAAACACGATAAACAAGCGAGCAAAGCAAACGAGTACAAATGGCTGGAGCTAACCAAACTGTAGCAATCATCCGGCGTCGAGAGGTATCTCCACCCTCCCTTTATGCCAGGACACCTGATCAGGAATCCAGCGCAGCCGGTGTCCCCTCCGCTCCTCACCTATGGGAAAAGAACCTCAAAGATGGTTTATTTGAGGAGCTGCACTCACCTCGGCTCATGACTCGTGACACCCCCTGTCAAGCTCAGACGTCTACAACGAGTTTAGATCATGGTGCTGCACCAACGGTCCGTCATCCTCACCGCTCTCCTCTCCCCTCCTTCTCCTTCACACACTTGATCGCCCCCTTCCCACTGCTTTTCTTCCTCTCCTCCTCCAGCCTCATCCTCTCCTTCTCCGTCATCCAGTCGCCTCCCAGGAAACTCAGAGCATCTTCAGGTTGTCCTCGACGCTGTGGCCTGGGGTCGAGGAGCGACTGGAAGAACGAGCAGGCTAACGGCGTGAAAGATACAAACTGAGGAGCGACGGGATGCTGCTCCTCCCGTCCTGCCTCTTTCACACCCGAGGTCTTCCGTGAGCTTCCCGTTTGGGGTTCTGTCCGCACGACCAGTTCATCGCTGGGGCCTTTGGCTTCACGGAACCACTCTTGGTATCTGAGGTATGATTGGCAGTCGCTGCCCGTCTCGGACCAGGGGTGGCTGCCGGTGAGCATGGCGTACGTCATGATGCCCAGCGTCCAGCTGTCTGTGCTGGGCTCCACAGACACCCAGACTCTCTCCTTCTTCTCCAAGTTCTCGTTCCGATCATCGTCCCAGCTGTCCTCGTTCCCTCGAGCAACCTCAGCCTCGGGGGTGCAGTAAGGTGAGCTGTACCAGACCTCTGGGACTCTGGTTCCTCTGGCCTTCACCTGGAAGGGGTGGGGGTGGGGGGCAGTTTGTCCCAGCTCATCCATAAAGATCTGGAATGTTTCATATTTTTCTACTGACCATTCCGAAGTCGCCCAGTTTGACCCACCGGCAGGCAGAGTCACAGAGGAAGACGTTCTCTGGTTTGACATCTCTGTGGACAAAACCGAGGGAGTGCAGGTGGGACAGAGCTCCACACAGCTGGGACACCACCCGCTGGCAGCTATCCTCCTCCATCCCCACCTGGACAACAGGTGCATGGAAAGGAATCCTTTATAAGATCTACAAACGTGTTTAAATGTTAGTTTTTATCATTCCAGACCAGACGTCTTCATCGAAATCCTAAACTTTATTTTTAACTTTGTGGGTTTTCAGGAGACACTCTACCTCAGGTACGATGACATCATAGAGATCGCCAAAGAGGCTTGCTTGCTGAGCGAAGATGTAGTGTGAAGGTGTGGCGTAGGCGATCCCCAGAGCCCGGGTCAGGGACGGGTGGGTGCAGAAGGACAGAGAGACATTGTACTCTCTCAGGAAGGAGAGAAGGGAGGTGGACTCGCGGGTGAAGAACTTCAAAGCCATCGGGGTACCTGGGGTTCAGGGTAAAGGAGGTGATATGTCTCCTGTCCCTTAAAGATGGGATCAGTTGAACTCCTCACCTGTTTTCCTGTGCACAGCCAGCATGACTTTTCCATAAGAGCCCTCTCCCAGCTGCTTCAGCACCCGGAAGGTCTCCGATGTGTCCATGGCAGTCAGAGACTGAGCCGACAGGTGGCACATGTCATCCAGAAGCTTCATGGCGGCCTGAAGGCAAAAAAATACATAAAATAAAAGAGTTTTCACTTCCAAATCAAACCATTTTTGTGTAAAAAGACATTTTTTATAACTTATTTCCCATTTTTCACCTTGATCTTGCATTTTTTTCCCTAATAGTTTTGTGCAAAAACAAAAATAAAACATGTCCTTTAGCTTTAGACAAACGTGTTCACGTAGTGAAACGTAACGGAGAAATGTACAACAGATGTGACTAATGTCTGCTGGACGGAAGCCATTCTGGTGGCTTGATTCTTATTTAGAGCATGTGGAGTTTATTTCTGTCACAAATAAATCTCACCAAAAACCAGTCAAGCCTTTTTCTGACCTAATAAATTGACCATCTGCTCTTGAGCTGATCTGGACACTTTACGGAACGTTTTAGTAGTCGGTGGCTCTAACGGTCTAAAATCCTGGTTCTGGGAGCTGCAGGAACTAGGAAGCGTTAGAAAATCTGACTTTATTATTTCATCTCAACATGATCAAATACCAGCAGAGATGCTGCTCCAACATTACTGTTCTCTGTGGATTTGAACCCCTTCTGGAATGTGACCCAACAGTCTGAGTGCTGTCAGTCGTCATGGAGACGTTTAGGATGTAAACATGTCTGTTTATAGCTGTGTGAAGTCCCGTCACACCGGCTGGTTTCCACTGCAGCTGGTAGCTTTGGGTCGGGGCCGAGACCCGGTGTCAGCGCGTAGAAACGATCATGGAGCGGCTCGTTAGAGCTCATTAGAACACACACACACACACACACACACACACACCTCCTCACTGAGATTTTCTCAGAATTGAACAACTAAGTTTTTCCAAAATTACTTGATTATAAAATAATTTATGATTTGATGTTTCTCCTAAAAATTCCAAAAAGAGGTAAAACGATGAAAGGAAATGACTTCATTTCCGTCTTTACTTTGTTCATTTTGAAATTTGTTGAGGAAAAATCCGTTTTAATGTTTAGTTGACACCTTTAATAATGATTTTATCTCCTAATCGTCTTGTTGCTTGTGGATTTTTCCACATGAGGAAACATTTAGTTGTGTTTTATACGCACAAGTTGATAAATAACTTGGAATTTTAGTGCTAATTTTCTCTGTTATTGACCTTGACATTGTTGACGGAAGTAATTTGTATAGAAACATTACAAAAATAAAGGATAAATGTATTTTATTAATTTTACTAATAATTTAGCATTTATTGATTTTGCACTGTAGCATTTGTGAGAAAAATCACAAATTGCAGGTTTTTGTTTTGATTTTTCAACAAATAAATGTAACACATACAAATGTTAAAGGGATGCTTTTTAAACATTTTTCTTGAGCTAGTATGTGCTAAAATGACCGTTTACAGCGTTAATGAAAGGCCACCCAGCCCTTGTCTCCGTCTGTGGCCAGAATACCGCATTTGCAACTTCAGAGTGCTGGTTTGTTGGACTAAAGCCTGGTTCATGCTTCTCCATCGGCTCCAACAGGGACAGACACGCACGCACGGACGGACGGAGGCATTTTGCCCTCATGCTTCTCCGTCTCCTGGATAGTGTTGCAAAGCAATTCCCCGCCAGGACAGCAGAGGGCGTAGCGCTGTTCTGTGGTATCCTGTCATGTATCGGTCCAAGATAGTGTGTTTATATTGTGTTTTTTTGTATATAAGAGACTTTTTAACAGACAGATTTGTCTCTCATCCTCCGCTACCTCTTCATGCGCTCGCCACCTCTAAACCCACGTTTCCTGTCATTTCCGTCCACAAATAAAACGCTTGCTGTGCATCTTTTCTCTCCTCCAGTCACGGGGAAATTAAACGTTCATGTTTTTAGAGTTTTTTCACGAGGTATTCCTCAAGCTGCTCCGTGTCTGCCGCTAGTTATCCTCGGCTCTCTTTATGTTTTTGAGGACGCAATGGCGGCGGTGTAGATGACAGCGGCGTCCTGACCAATCACAAGCTTGCATTCTCCGTCTCGACGGACGGATGTTTAGAAAACAGAGCTCGACTCCGTCCGTCCTTGCGGAGCTCTCCAGCAGGCCCGCAAGGACGGATGATGGCGTTGCGTGTCTCCGCACTGACGCAGACGGAGAATCAGGCTTTAGAATAAAAAAGGGGCTGACATACCTGGCGCTGCAGTCTGCTTCCAGCACGTTTCTTGCATGTTTTAGATCGTGAACAACAGCTGATTTGTTTAATTTACTGATGAATCGCTCTTGTAGACACTAATGAGGCCTGAAGAGACATTTCAGCTTTTAGATTAAGGTGTTAAAAGGACAAACGCACAGCGAGAGATCAGTGTTGCTTTAGTTCCATTAAACAGACACTAGGGGGCGCTAAAAGCAAGCCAAAACCGCCTTGTCTCCCTTTGAGGCACAAACGCATGAAGCATCCCGCAAAAGTCCTAAAAGAGAAAACAGAACCTCCAAAATCCCTCCATTAGGATCAATGAGGAGGTTCTACAGAAATGTTCTGAATTAGATCAAACACCAAATTCACACATGAATAAAACATTTTGCATTTTCTGCAGAATTGTTGCATGCAAAAGAGATATTTTGCAAAATTTGAATTGCTTAAAAACACCACCAGAATGCAGATGAGATGAAAATAATAAACAGAATACAGAAAATACAGCATAGTGGTTGTCATCTCTAAGCTTAAGTGCTCCAGTATAGTTTTATTTTACTACACTGAAGGTTTCTAATGAGGTCATTTTGTTAAACTAAAATTAGGACAAGTTTGAACACATTTTCTACACTTTTTGTGTGAATACAGATTTAAGGCTCTGATTCCTCAGCAGAAAGGACAGAAGCAGATCTGCTTTCATGAATCTGTCTCTTCAGGACTGATTTGATAAGATTCACAGATCTGAGTCGACACCCCACACCCTCCATGTTTTTAACGTAACATCAGAAAAAGCAAGCATTTAGATTTACTTTGAAGACAAAAGAATTAAATGCAAAAAAAAACTAGCATCACATATGAGGACATAATGTAGGTTTTACATATAATCTGTAGATTTTTACCTCGTGGAAACATTATTTATTCTACTACTGAAGCAGTGTGCGACTCGGTTCTGACTCACGGCCATTTCTGCAGCTGTGGTTCGGTTCTTCAGCGACTCTCCTTGGTTCTGAACCTGTTAGATGAAAATCTACGACGTTGTTTTCACTCAGCAGGTGCAAAAGTCAGAAAATCGTCACGACTCACGCTGCTGCTGCTGCTGCTGCTGCGGTGGTCTGCAGCTTTCTGACTGGCTTCATCAGACGCTTCACGTCATCTGCAGCTTCAGCTTTTATCTCACCGGGATCCATCTTCACCCCCTTTGAAGATTGCTTTGCAAACCTTCTGGGAGGCAGCTTGAAAAGTTCAGAGTTCAGACTGCAAATCAAGATTCAGTTAGAAGACTTGAAGGAAAAACTGCAACAGAAATCCCAGAATGCTGCAAAAATGTTTTAAAAATCGCAAAAAGCATGTAGAAATCTAGCAGGTTGGATTTAATAAACATATCTTTCTGTGTTGCACGCTGACGTCGTTAGGTCCGTTTTAGGGGGGCTTCAGCCCCCCTCAAATAATCACAAGCCCCCCTATCATTTTGGTTTATTTTATTTTTTTCAGTTAACTTTTTTTATTTGTTCACATCTACATGCTGAACACAATCACGACACGTGTAGTTGGTACATGAGTTTTTTAGTCTGAAACAGAAATAATAATTAATGAATATAGAACTACACCGTCGCACACAGGAAGTATCAAGAAAGGACTTCCTCCACTTCCTTAAGCCCGCAGCTTTGTTGACAAGTCAGGGGGCGGGGCGATACAGAAAAACCTTTATATCGATGAGCAAACCCTGCTCAGCGCTCATGTAAGTCACTCAACATCACATTAGGGTAAGACAGCAACAGCAGCACACCGTTAATATTTCAAGGTTATAGTTCAGACTTCAGAGAGAGGAAAATGCTACCGCACCGACATGCTAATGCTAACTCCGCTAGCATGTTTACATGCTGCAAACCATAATGAAAAGCTTTGATGTCAAGTAAAATGGTCGGAAAACTCCCCTGAAGTGACATGATTAACCACCCAGACAGTTCATTGAGTGACTTACTGCCACCAACTTGAGCGTACAGTAATGAGTCTGCACAAACAGAACCTGCTCTGCGCTTGTGTGCAGCAGCTGCAGCCCTCTCTATGGGATCAATTCTGCACATGCAAATCTCTCCCTGCTCTCCTCAACAAGTAGCCTCTCCAACAGTCAATCACAGACAGCTCTGTTTTATCCAATCAAAGCATGTCCAGGAAACACTGCTTTACAGAAAAACACCCATTTAACAGCTTATTGAACAGCTTTCTGCTGCTGGTTAGCTACCAGTCACCATCCACTGCCTGCAAAATACTTTGTTGTAATTCATGTGTCATGATTAGGGTGACCATATTTGACTTCCAGAAAAGACACATTGCCTATTCCTAAAACTGTTAAATTGCACTATTTTCAGTTAAAGAGGACTTTTAATTTCAACATATGAAGTGTTTCTTCTCTGTTTGGTTAGACATAAATGATCCCTTGATGTGTAAAAGGAAGTGAACAGTGGAAATGTCCCAGGAAAAGAGGAGGGTTAATCAACCTAATTAAATATAATTATATAAAGTCCTCTTTATCTGAAAAAAGTGCAATTTTTCTGCCAGTATTTCCTGGACATGCTTTGATTGCATAATGGAGAGCTCTCTGATTGGCTGACGGAGAGGCTACATTGCTTTGTAAATTGCAAATTGAGCAACAGCAGGGAGATTTGTGCAGGCAGAGACGGAGTTGAGCATGCAGAGAGAGGGCCGCATACGACGTTGTGCTCTTGCAGATTGATCACTGCACGCTCCAGTTGGTGGCACAAAAATCACTCCACACTAAAAACCTGAATCAGAATCTGGCCGAATGTGTATATTATTGACCATTTTTCTATATTATATATATTTTTCTATAATATATATATATATATATAATATATTACAGGTACATATATGTATCTATAATATAGTAAACAGCCAGTTTTATATATGTCTCATATATTCAAAAGCTATATCAAAACATATATTAAAACCTATATGTTTATGACTTCTTTCCATGTGGGTTGTCAGTTGCTTAATATTTCCTATGTGTACCTATGGTAAAGAAAGGAGATGTTGTACTCGTCTAACTTTAACATAAATTTTGGCAGCTCGATGTGATGTTATGGAAAATGCCATCATCATGAGCAACCAAACATAGGCTATATTAGACTAACAGTTGTCCATATTCTGTCCCATTTATCCACCAATGGCTGTTTCAATTATTGTGAGTGAAAACTAAATGGCATAGTAGCATTTTTTTGGCATTAGAAATTGAAAATGTTTTTCAATGTGTTGGCTAGATGGATATACGAAGACTTTTTTAAGAGAGTGAGTGAGGAACAGGAGAGAGACCAGGTGGTTGATGCTGAGGAGATCTGCATGGCCAAGGTCAGTGGTCTACAGCGAAAACAGGGGCGAGCGCACCGTTATGAGCATTTACCTGAGCACAAAGTTCCCAAGCAAAACTGAACAGTTTTCTATTTAGGAGTGAACAGGTAAGAGACATTGAGAAAAAAATAACTATAATTATCATCTGGCCTGCAACCTCATGTCAAGTTGTATCTGTATAGTTGACTTTCTGTATTATAAGTTCTACTACTTGCTGGATATTTTTATATATACTGTTATTTTGTCTTGTAATAGTTAATTATATACTCCTTTATTCCATATCATAGCAGTGTTATTCATATATTAAAACTGTCAGCTGCACACTCATTTGGCAGAAAAAAAGTTTTACAATTATTCATTTGTTCTTTATTGTCACATTTCAGTAACATTTATAATTAAACAAGTTGTAATTAAACAAATAAATGACTACAACATTTCCCCCTGTTAAGTGCAGTAGACTGAAATGAATAGCTTTATTTGGAAATATAACATATCTCATTTTTAATGGACTTACATAAAATCTTTCTTCAACATAGACCCCACTAATGAACTGATTAAGTGTTATTTTTTATGAAAAGAAAAGAGAAAATGCACAAAAGTAGGAAAGGAAAAGAAAGTGATAAAATAATAGGTTTTGTTAAATGTTCTTCAGATAATGAATTAATTGACAAAGTTTTTGCAGGGTGTGACAAAAAACGTTCGAGGTCAAGCTCCTGCGGCTAAGCCCCCCCTATATCTCAATCCTAGTGACGTCCATGAGTGTTGCAGCAGATGGACCTTATGTGTCTTTCTTCTTTGTTTATTATTTAGATAAAACAAAAGTGTGTTTTTTCTTCTGTTCTGCATCGCTCCCTGCCAGTTTCTGACTTGGCTGCTGAACTGGACCATGGCACTGGTGTGCTGGTATCTGAAACAGTTTGCAAAGGGAGATTTACTTCTCATAAAGGATGCTGTAATACGTAGCGGTGTGTATTTCTAGCTGCAGCCATTAAACTCTCTGATCATAGCAGCTCGTTTGTCTCATCATCACCCCGTCTGTTTGGCTCCAGCTGGTCTTGTTGTCCAACAGCAGGAACACGAAGATTTTTGCACAGCTGTGAGGAACTGAACTGATGCAGAATCAATGTTGATTTGATTCTTTCTCGTGTTTTCCCTGATGGTGTGTGCATGGACGTAATTTTGGGGGGGGGACAGGGGGGACATGTCCCCCCCCCACTTTTTCCAAAGTCAAGGTTTGACCCCTGCACTTTTTACCATCCAAAAACAATATTACGCTATATTAAATTGACACTGGTTGAGCTCTAGGACCAAGCGGAAAACAACCGTTTGTGTTGAAGCCTGTTTCCCATTAGAACATACTGTAAAGATACCCCCCCCCCCCCCGTGTCCCCCCCACTTCTAAAGTGAAAATTACGTCCATGGGTGTGTGTCTGTATTTAGGTGCCGAACAGAATCGCTCTCCCTCTGCAGGACGATTTTCCTCTGACACTCAGGCCTCTGGTGGTTTGTAAGTCCTGCTGTCAGCTGTCACCAGCGGCTGTGTGTGTGTGTGTGTGTGTGTGTGTGTGTGTGTGTGTGTGTGTGTGTGTGTGTGTGTGTGTGTGTGTGTGTGTGTGTGTGTGTGTGTGTGTGTGTGTGTGTGTGTGTGAGAGAGAGAGAGAGAGACCTCGGTTCAGCAAACAGCTGCGCTCCGACTTCCCTCCGTCACTCAGCCGTGAGCGGATGATGTGTGTGTCAGATCTTTACGAGTGTTTGCATTTCAGCGACATGCAGAGTTTAGGTAACATTTCTCAGATGAAGCGCAGAGTAACAGTAATTAGACCTGCTGGAGGAAAGCCAGGCTTCTATATGTGCTGCTCAGAACGTGTTCTAAATGTGTTAGTAGAGAAACCACATGTGAAACACACTCGCGCGCGCGCGTACACGTTACAGGTCCCAGGTATGTGACCATGCAACAGGTGATTCTGTTAAAACAGTCAAATGAGCAGACAGGACATCAGAACGGTGCTGCTGCGTCAGCTCCTCGTTGCAGAATGAGGAAAAGCCATCAGCCGCCAAGTATCATACTGCCCTCTGCTGGCATTAAGGTGCATTACCTTTACAGATCAGTTTACAAAGACTAATAATAACAATGTCCTTAGAGACACTATTTAAGTTTGTTTTCTTTTCCTTTTAGCCTGGAATCCTTTTTTTTCACACCGGAATACATTACATTAGATGGTTAAAGCACCAATACGAAAAATGTGACCACGTCTTTCTGTGTGCGTCACACACGCGCACACACACACTTGTAAACAGCTCTCATGGTAGGAGGAAGTCATCCATGCCAAACAGGAAAGACCTACAGTAAATAGAGGAGGCCTCACGTTACACCTTTCCAGCACCTATGCAGCTTTGATCCTAATTCCAAAACAGTTTCAGTCTAGTTCACACCCTCCTGCATCTAATCAAAACACACAATAGGACATAACGACATTGACGACTCCCTAGAGGGCAGGGGTCATAGTTTCAGAGAGCTACAGTTCATAAGCTGAACTCTCCCATATTTACCATGTCCTGGGTGACTGAGGACCTTCACTATAATAATAATAATAATAATAATAATAATAATAATAATAATAATAATAATAATGATAATAATAATAATAATAATAATAATAATAATAATAATAATAATAATAATAATGATAATAATAATAATAATGATAATAATACGATACAGCTGGGGAAGCAGCCTACAAGAAAGCGGTTCCAGGTTTTATTTGCACTAATTTCATTATTTAATGACAGAAAACAGGAGAAATGAACCTTTTGTCACATTTCAGCTTCAGGTTTTATTTAAGGAACATAAAACAAACAAAATCTTCCAAATATATAAATAGTACAGTATAAGTAACCATCATACCAACAGGCAAATATTAATAATAAATATTACATAATACAGTATCATCAGAAATAACTGAGATGCCTGCATCTCAGACGAAAAAGTACACAAACGTAATAAAAAAAGCTCATAAATAGCATTCTAAATAGCTTGAAATAGTATAAAAATAATGTTACACATTCATGCTAATAAATACCTAGCAGGCACTGTGATGTAAACAGTCTCAGTGGGAGGACAGGTAACAGGTGACAGTCCCTCGGCACAGTGCATCCGTACATTTTAACTGGTTTAAAAATAAAAAACGAGATGAATCTACATTCTTGTTTGTCTTTAACTGGAGTCCATGTGACGGCTCTAGGAGGAATAAACGTAGAAATGATGCTAAAGGTGGCCGTAAACTGAAAGTTTGGAGCAAAAGTGTCAGTTTGCTACACTCAGAATGATAAAATGTCTTTATGTGATGCTGCATCATCAGAAAATGAGGAATTAGACATTAATATTGAATAGATCTCATTAAAGTAGAAGCATAAAGGAAATATTTCGGCTTCTGCTTCACATGTGTTTGTAGTTTCAGCTACCGCTGGTTTTAACTAAATGCTAATAAGTAACACCGTAATGTGGCCTAAATAAAAATACTCTAAAACTCTAAATTAAGAATTAATGCTGAACAGTTTTGTTTTGCAGGAATTTGATCATGAAAACTGAAAATGTAAGATTTTGTTGTGAATTTTTGAGAGAATCCATGATTCTACCTTAAAGAACCAAAACCCTTTCGACCTAAGCGGCTCGACGGGCTTCAGAATGATCGATTTTAATGACATCTGTTCCTGGCTCGTTGCAGTCAGCCACGAGGCTTTGGATCGGCCGATTCTGCCACCTTGAGGTAGTCCACTAGCAGGATGGAGCAACAGCTTGGAGTTATCAGTGGTTTCATGTGAGGACACGATCAGCTGTTTAAGGCTGCTTTGGGGCGGTGTTTGGGGCAGATGTGCAGCAAGATTCGTTTTGACAAACGGCAGAACGGTTGTAGCCGTTCAGAGATTTCCACGGAGAACATCAGAGCGTCGAAGGCGTTGGAGACGTCGGGAAAAACGGGAATCGACACCTCAGGAACCTCTTGGTTTATCTGAAAGCACAAACAAAAACTCACCAAAGTTAAAAAAAAACTCACATAAAAATCCTAATAATTCACTCAAGAATGCAGCGATGAAAGTTATTATTGATATTATTATTATTATTATTATTGTTGTTGTTGTTGTTGTTGTTATGAAAATAAACATGATCAATGTTTTAAAATTTCTCAAATTAGTTTTAATTTTTTATAACATTTTATTTAACAACATAAAATAAAATAGTCCAATTTTATTTGTTGGACTTTTATTTTATATATTCTATATTCATCTCTTCTTGTTTCCTAAAGTTTTAACTCTAAATCAACTATAATCAACATTTGTTTTGTTTTAATTTTTCGGTTTATTTGATATTTGTTTATATGGAATATGGACAAAAGTACAGCATACTTCCATTTTCTACGGATGTTAATTTAATTTAATTTAATTTAATTTAATTTAATTTAATTTAATTTAAAATCAAAGTTTAAATAATGGTGGCAATTTGATAAATTTGGTAAAATAAAGGTTTTTTCAAACTTTTGCTTTCTTTATCATCATCTTCAACTTTGTAAACAATAAAAAAAATGGCTCCTCTTTTGCATAACTTCATTTTCAGAAGATTTTGTTCTTCTTTTAAACATTAAAATTGTAAATATGATTTTCTGGAGCTCCAGACGTGTGTAACGAGGGCTGCATCCCATTTCCAAGAGTCCTTTAGCATTTTTACAGCACAACCAGCTGTTTGAATGGAACACGGCCCTCGTTAACACACCTTTGCTGCCCACCTGAGGTGAAACGGATGCTTCTGTTTGATTAGTCGACTCACCTTGTGAAGAGACTTCCTGATGAGGTCTGATAGCTGCAGGAGGCTCGAGCCGGCGCTCCTGTCGGCCAGGAGGGGCAAACTGAAGTTTTCTTTAGCAGCTTTCAGCCAGTCCACGTGCAACCTGAAGGACTCGGTGTCCTTGTGCAGCTGCAGGAGGGACTCGTTAACCTGTAGGCGCACAAACACACCACACACACCTGCTCGATAATTATGATCTTTATATTTATGCAACGTTTAGGTGGAATTAGGTGCTTACCTTCAGGGACCTGAAATGTGTGGCAATGTGCTCCAAGCTGGGAAGACCCTTCAGTTTGTCTTCAACTTCAGAAAAATGTGAGAGTTCTTCACTGGTCTGTTGAGAACAAGACAAATAAAACACTCGTTTTTATTTGTTTTCATGCCGAAGAGCTGCAGCACCGTTAAAATCCACTTAAAACCTCAGAGACAGCAAACATCCAGAAAGTCTGAGGTGAACCTCACCAAGTTGTGCATTTTTTTGGAGGCGTTGAACAACTTTTCCAGCTGATGGATCATGGAGCCGAACGCTGCGCAGAGATCCGAGCTGTGGGCGGGGAACGACGAGGACCGAACCAACAGTTGGGTCAGCAGCAGCAGCAGGTGGAACAGGCCTGAGGTGGGCTCATGAATTACTGCAGAGGCAAGAAAAACACACAAAACCCACATTTAGCCTTTTCTTCTAACTCAACAAAACAAGCGCTGAACCAGGGACGCGAGAGAGTAACGCGCATCTATGGCAAGCCAAAACCGCCACAATACGCCACTTTCCCAACCCGTCTAGTTAAGAAATGGCGAAAAAAACGCCGTTTGATGTGCCAAGACGTCGTAAAATATGGAGAAAACTCTGCCAGAACGCCGTAATTGACGCCGTTGTGAACGGTCCCGTAGAACGCCCGTAAAATACGACGTTTTTTCCGGACATTGAACGCCGTTTTTTACGTCACCCTAATCCCAGACGCGTTCTCTGTGTGGGTGGCGTAAAATATGGCGTTTGGTACGGACATTGAAAGCCGCTTATTTCGCCGTTCTGTGACATAAAACGCCGCTTTTAACACAGAGAACGCATCTGGGATTAGGGTGACGTAAAAAACGGCGTTCAATGTCCGGAAAAAACGTCGTATTTTATGGGCGTTCTATGGGACCGTTCACAACGGCGTCAATTACGGCGTTCTGGCAGAGTTTTCTCCATATTTTACGACGTCTTGGCACATCAAACGGCGTTTTTTTCGCCATTTCTTAACTAGACGGGTTGGGAAAGTGGCGTATTGTGGCGGTTTTGGCTTGCCATACACAGCTGCAGCTGCAGCCACGCTTCCTCCCTCCTCCTTGACCCAGAGCTGCTGCGTTTCTGTGATTCAGACCGAAAACCACACAACCTGTTTTTTTTTATTTCAGCAGCACGGATTTCGCAAGCAGCTGCTTGATGTTTCCGTCTGTTTCCGCTCACCGAAGCTTTGGCCAACGCAACACGTATGGGCCTGCCACTGGAGCCGAAACACCACTAATTACAACAAACTGGTGTCATTAAGATGCTGGGAGTGATGTGAGACAGCAAAACGGGAAAGCCATCTTTGATGCAGCGATGCACAGAGTTTAAACATCAGTCAGCATCAGTGCGACGAGAAATGTGAGCATCCTGTCGTCTAGACGACGAAAACTCATCAGATAAGAGCAGAAAAGAGTTTAAACTCCATCAGGAGTGTGTGTGTGTGTGTGTGTGTGTGTGTGTGTGTGTGTGTGTGTGTGTGTGTGTGTGTGTGTGTGTGTGTGTGTGTGTGTGTGTGTGTGTGTGTGTGTGTGTGAGGAGGAAACAAGATTTCCCATTTCTGGAAACAATCAGAAGCAAACATTTACTGATATTTTATTGTTTCTTTAAAAAATCCCCCAAAACTGTAAAAAATGTTCATTTGTGGGTAAAAAAGATCAGATTTCGAACTTTCTGCTCACATTTTGATGCTGTTAGTTTCTCAATTCCTTTAATCTGCTTTAAGATCTTAGAATCAACACATAAAATCAGAAATCAGGTCAAACTGTTTTTGATTTGAACTCGCTCTCCACGTGCACGCCGTCCTGCACGTGCACCCGTTGCACCGACTGCACGCTGCAGAAGCCGAGTAGACGGGCGGATAGCCGATGGCTTCTCAGGTTTGACACCAAACAGGACCGAGGTAAACCCGTGAAGGGTCAAAGGGATTCAAAATAAAACAAAAATGGTTTTATCTACAGCCCTGAGCCGCTTTCTCCAGATGCAGAAGTCTTGACTTTAACAGGAAGTGTGACACATTCATCCTTTTATTAGCTTTTCACGCCTTTTCTGCAGGACGGAAGATAAAGAAGAACTAAAATATTGAGACAAGCTGCAAAATTTAGAGGTTAGAACAACATAAAAAGACCATTTTTGGCTTCATTAACGTCAACAAACTAGAAGACGGGTTTAATAAAACAAACACACCCACATCTTAAATCAACCAGCATGAGATTGAATCACGTATGTCTCAATCCCTGCTGATGAAACCCTTTCAGCCAGATTAGCTCATGTCTGAAAATCTATCCACGGGTTATTGAAACTCTAAAAAGCCCCCGAGCCTCGGGACCGGCCGTAGGATGTGCTAGGTCACGCTTGAGGAATGTGAGGAATTCCGGGGTTTTTTAGACGCTGCTTTGAGCCTCCTGGTGGAGAAGCCGGCTGAGACGCCTGACTCAGATTAATCTCTGAGTGGTGACATCATCAGCAGGCTGCCTGAACTCCTCCCAGAGAAAACATCCCTTTTGTTAAAAAAAACACTTTTCCTGCCATCCAGAGAGGGACAAATGTGGGTTTAACTGAAGGTCAAAGGTCAGAGTTTAGAATTTTTATATTTAACTTATGTATTTAAGTTTTGGGCATGTCCTGCCGGCAGGAGGCCCCCGGGTCGACCCGGGACACGTTGGAGAGGTTACATCTCCAATCTGGTCCGGGAACGCCTTGGGGTCCTGCCGGAGGAGCTGGTGGAGGTGGCCGGGGAGAGGACGGTCTGGAGCTCCCTAGTTGGGATGCTGCCCCCGCGACCCGGACGCGGATAAGCGGAGGAAGACGACGACGACGACTTCTTTATTGTATTTAAAGGTTTCTTTTGCTCTTTTTGTTACCAGTCACTCTGGTATTAGTCTTATTATGTCGGAATATCATCAGTTTTTCTCCCTGAACCTAAATGATGAGCAGCTGAAATATTTTGGCCGATTTCTGTTTCAACATTCCTCCACTTCCCACGAGACCTCGAGTTTCCAGGCTTCTCCAAGTGTCCGATTTCACGTCTCGGCATTGGCAGAAAAGAACCCGACTCCAAAGCTCGCAGATGATGTCGGACCCAAGAAACATTTCATTTAATTTGAAATGAGTTTCCGTTTCAGACGCAAAGAGGAGAGAGGACGCTCTCGGAGACGTGAAAATATGTTGCATCAGAGAGAGAGAGAGAGAGAGAGAGTTATGAGGGTAAAATATGTCCTCTCACACATGCAGGGATGCCCACTAATCCGAAAAAGACAGAACACATCCGTTTACACGGCGGGATATCAGAGACGAAACTCGGAACTGCAACAGAAACGATTCTGCTGAGACATTAAAGTAACGATAGTTTAGACCTACAAGCTCGAGCTTTAACACTGGTCTCAGTGATTGTTCAGTTAGAAACCTGACCAGTTTCATATTTGACACCACTCTGTGGAGCGCGTAGGTGTCCTATAGGTGAAGCTCTTTACCTGCTTTACGGCTGTTAGCTGTAATGCTAGCGGTTAGCATTTTCAGTTTGCCGATCGTCAATGAAAAGCACAAGAAGAAGAAAAAGAAGTTTGCTTTTACTGTTGGCATCATGGCGGAGCCTGGAAGTAAAAGTGAGAGAGTAACGTCTTTGGAGGTGAAGCAAAGAGCTAAAACCAGAGTGAACATCGGCGCGTCCTACGCTAGTTTGAGGGAGCTAAAGGCTATAAAATCACGGACTGATGGTGACCTGGCTTTGTTGCAACTGGAACAGTGTGGATCTTTTTACTTTGTGGTTTATTTTAGTATTAGTTAGCTTGTGTTGAAGCAGGGGTATTCATTTCTGGTCCTGGAGGTCCGGTATCCAGCACGTTTTAGTTTTAACTGTGTTTCAACACACCTGATTTCAATCAGCAGGTGATTAACAGGCTTCTGCAGAGCCTTATGAGCTGCTGCACAGGTGATTCAAGTGTGTTGAATCAGAGAAACCACCAAAATGTGACGGATACCAGGACTGGAATTGAATACCCCTGTGTTAAAGTTAGCTCATTGTTAGCGCTAGCTACAGCAGGCTACAGCAGGGTTGTTTATGACAGTTGTAATTCCACTTTCAACCAGTAGGGCGGAGGAGCAGGAAACTGCTCTGTTACTTTAACAACTATCTGCTTTAGATAGCTCATTGCAAAGCCTCAGTTTGGAGAAACAGCTACATTCAAGCTAAAATAATCCCAAAATGTTCTCATCACTTTATGCAAATTATGTTTTATAACTTTTACGGAGTCGTGAATCTGTCTGTTGTGTTTATTTCTGCAGATTTAACATCGATCCCTCATATTTATTCACATGTGACATTTTTGTGAAAACGTGGGGAAATATTAACATTTAACTCGTTCACTGCCATTGACGACTAAAGTCGTCATTTGCATGTTTTTACTGTGTGGGTGTCGGACGAGCCCCCGCACCGTGAGAACAAACATCCCAGCTCTAAAGCCAATCTTCATCCGCGTACGTCACACGTCACATGATCAGGAAGCAGAACATCCATGTGTCAGGAGATCGTTTTGTTGCCATAGCTGTAAAAAAAAGTGAAGCGCGAACCGGAAAAGCTTCTGCCGATCACAATTCAACAACGGATAACGCTCAAAACGCGCGGATTCTTCCTGATGTAAGAGGTGAGTCTCCGCTTTGTTTTGGTTGTTTTGACGTCATCCTAGCGCCCAATGTTCTGTGACTCTTAAAAAAACAGTAAAAACAGTGAGAAACGCTGGCAGCGAATGAGTTAAAGGTTTTTTGCGGCTTATGTTTTACCTCCTTTGTACGACATCAGGGCCAATCAGACTCCTGAGCTCATCGGTAGAATTAATCTCCACTTCTCCAAACTGAAGCTGTTCAAAACTTGGTTCAGAAAAAGGAAAGAGATTTTGTTCTGTTTGTTTTAAAAGTTCATATTTTCTCACAAACATCTGAAGCTAAAATGAAACATTTGATCTCATTTTGACTAAACTAACTCCTGTTGTAACTTCAGAAACGTTCTTGTTCTGTTTCACGTTCCTAAGCACAAAGACGTGTCTCAGAGAGGAGAAAAAGATTACATTTTGTTGATTTCACACAGACTTTGGTGCATGGATGCGTTTAGTTGAGAGCTTAAAGCTTTTCTTGCTAAATCAAGTCATTTAGGGCATAAAATATGGAAAAACATAGTGATGAATACTTAATTAAACATCGGTTTTACACCAAATGCTGAAAGAAAGTTCGTTTTAATAAAATCTTAGTTTGGATTTTATTTATTCGTAGATTTGATCCAGTTCCCTTGACCTAAAAGTTGCCAAAAACTATAAAAGAATCGCTCACTAAGAGAATTTTCTCTGATGTGTCAGACATTATCTGTCAGATAAAACTTGTCTTGTGGCGAGGAGACATCTGGGAACGAGCTTTTATTTCCACACTGGATAAATGTGTGGTTTGTTTGCAAAATGAAGAAAATTCCACCGTGAATCTAAACTGGTTTTAAATTCTAAACAAATGGATCTCATGAAAGGTCTAAATCTCAAACAGATGTTCTCCAGCAGACGTGACCAAGTGAGAACTAATCCAATCAGTTGGCTGCCTCTTGGTTTCTGTGCACTAAAGCGTTGACTGTCCTGGTCTGCAGCCAGAGAAGGACGCGCGCTGGAAAGCTGCTGCATTCAGCCGCTGGAAAAGTACTGAGGAGCAAAAGCCTTGAGTCAGAAGAGAGAGAGAGAGAAAGAAAACATGTGCGTACAGTCATGCATCTGGCAGAGTAAACAGCTGTGACAGCATTACAGCATCAAAAAGCTGCTTCAGAAGCAGCGTGAAAGGCTCGCCTTTGATGTGTGCACGGCCCGTTTCGTCAGAACGCAATCCCTCCAACATGAAACATCAACAAGTGCGTGCTGTGTCTCACATAATCGCCCACTTCCCGCGTTTCCGTTGGAGTTCGTGCCCTTTTTTCCTGCTGGGTCAGACAAACAAACGCTGGAGTTTCCTGTGTGGGCTCAGTGGACGCCTTATTTCCTCAAGCGCTCGTTACTTTTTGCTCTCAAGGACATCAAATGAACTTATGAACAGGTGCTCTGTTAGCGTTCAGAAACCTGGACGGAGCTCAACTCTACGGTCTGACTTTCACAAACGCTTGTTTTTCCAATATTTTATATCTTTGCTTTCTGTCCTGCTGAGACTCGTCATTAAACGTCAAATTTATGCCTTTTCCAGGCGGACTCAACGGAGGTGTGCAAATTAACATTCTTCAATCATCTTTTTATTAGCAAAAGCAACTTCAGGTAAAGAACGAGTGAGGGCGTCAGCAGCAGCTGTTTTCAGCCATAAAACTCACCAAACACAAGTAAGACTGCATATCAGACACACCTACAGCTTTAGATGTTGATTTAAATAAAAAAAAACTGGTAAAATATTATTCAAAAGTTTAAATGTCTTCCTGATAACAGATCTGTCCAGATTTGGATGCTTAAAGAGCAAGTCACCCCCTACCAGAGTATTACTCCACTCACACTTCCTGTTTGAAAAATGCAACAAATGCTGTTGCCTAGCAGACCGAGAGGGCGGAGCACACACACACACACACACACACACACACACACACACACACACACACACACACACACACACACTCACACACACACACAGGCTCACAATGACATTGTGACATCATGTGGTACCAGCTAACGTTCTAGAGTACCTCTTAGCCAATAGCGATGGCAGATTTAAATTCAAATGCAGTGCAGAGTTTTTACCTGACAACGGCACAACACTGACAGTTTTAGGCAGAAAATTTAAATTTTAACTAGGGCCGGGACTTTAACGCGTTAATTATGATTGATTAATTAATTAGAAAAAAAATGATGCGTTAAAAAAATAACGCTTTTAATCACAGCTTGGATTTTGAGTAAGGCAGAACCTTTGTCATTGCACGATTTCCTCGTAGACCGAATATCACACTGACGCACACAACAATGCACAGCGCTAATGGCTACTAAAACGGAATAAAAACAGAAAGAACTTTCCTTGCTTGGACTGATGCAGGATTTAGGAAACCCGTCCGCCTCTTTTCTTAACTTGGAAAAATAAAACTTCCAGACAACAACGGAGTCCGTGTTACGGACGTTTTTCAGAGATCGTCTCTGCTGCGGCTGCCCGCCCGGTGGCACCGGAAACTTTACAAAAGTTGCGGTAAGCTATATTTTTAACATTTCCGTAACATATGTGCAGCGCTGAAAGCACCAGACAGAATAATTCTGTGCCCTAACAGTAGTTTATGAAAGTAGTCAGACAAACGAGAGGCACCTGGCTGCCGCTGGGAGAACGCTCCGTGTTCTCACTACTCTGTAAACAATCACAAACAACGTGTCTTAAAGTTGAAAATAGAAGTTTAAGTTAAAACAGAAACACTCTAAAAATGCGATTAATTTAGATTAATTAATTACAAAGCCTCGAATTAATTAAATTAAATTTTTTATCGAGTCACAGTCCTAGTTTTAACTAAAGTGGAAAACTAATAACTACACGTGTCTGCAGCACTAGTAGACACGCATTTCTATAGTTTATCAGAAAAAATAGTCGATTTGGGGGTGACTTGCTCTTTAATTCCTGATAAACCTGTGAAAAAGGGGTTAAAGTTGGTAAAAGTGCGGTCCCGTTCCCTGATTAAGCCTGAAACACGAATTCAAATCTGTTTTCCAGCTGTTTTGGCGTCTGTCTCACTTCTTATCTAATCTCGTCTCCCTCTTGATGTTTTTGACGCCATCTTGATGATGCCACACATAAAAGATGCTGAGCCATCCAGATGAGTCACCGTGGATTCAGCATCAGCAACTTCAGACAATAAGTTTAAAAAAAAGCTCCTGAGCTGCTGGGTTTTAGCTGCAGTACCGCCTGTGTCCACAAGGAGGACGCTTGCATTACAGCTGACTCACTTTCGCCCCTGAAAACCTGATCGATCTGGAACCAAACAGGTGAGCTGCAGTCTGACATTACAGTAAGGGACCAGATTACATGTAATGATGACATCACTGTCTGCTCAGCTTGCACACACACACACACACACACTTTTTCTGATTTATTATCCTGGACTGACGACCTTGTGGGAGAGTTCTGATTAAAACCGAGGCTTTGATAAACAAAACGTGATTCATAATGGAGACGAGGACGTTTAAAGCACCTTTCTTAGGTTCTAGGAGGAAATTCTAACATCAGACGACGAGTGAAGTCGACGTTTTGCAAATGATCCCAGAATTCCAACGTGCATAAAAAGGCTGAATATTTCCCTTTCATGCAGGTAAACACAACAAAACTCAAATGGCGCACTCCTGTTTGGGCCAGTTGTTAGAAAAAAACGGTTCCGTCTTTTACTGCTGGAAAGGAAAAGTAAAAAACTCCGAGCGGCTGCAGAAGTTTCCAGCTTCTCTTTCATGTGAAATAAGTGCAGAGGTAACGCAAACAGTCCCCGTCTGTGCTGTCAGGTAGGAAGTCTAACATGTGGTCTGGAGCAGCTCTCAGCCAAGTTCCTCCATTAAAGCGGGACTCCTCCCAATGTTGACTTACACATGATTTATATCGCCTTCATTAGCTCAAAACATGCGAGTCTTTCGCTTTAGGAGCCTTTTTACACTCATGAAATAAATACGAGTCGATCCTGACGTTCTCAAGCACGTCTGTGTGCACGCAACGCGTGTTTTCGCACAGAAGCTGGCTTCAATTGGAGGGTTTCGTTCATTTTCGGTGAAAATGTATTGAAAGAAACAACTTTACCTAAAAACAAACAAACTCTGTGGCTCAGGGTTACTTTTTAAGTTCAGTTTGGACAAATTCATCACTGATTTGGCTCAAAAACATCCAAAAGCTTAAAGTTTAGCAGCATTTTTAGTTCAAATGTTTTCATTGGATTTAAATGGGAGAAACCCATAAGGGCAGCTTCTTTCGCTCGACTGGTTTGGAGTATGTGGGGAAAACCTCCCCAACACACACACACACGATCAGCCAATCATAGACAATCTTGAAAGTAAACAGCGGGTTTTTCAGAATCCAGACACAAAAAAGTTAAACTTCACAAGTTTCAGCCACAAAGAACAAGTCCCATCTCATTCATTCACCCCTTTTCATTCATTCATTCACCCACTTCCACTCCTGACTCCTCTCAGGCTGAAAGTAAAAGTGAGGAGCACGTGTGGAGTCCCCCTCCTCCATACACACACTCACACACACACACACAAACACACACACACATAAACACATGTTGTGTTTGACTGAAAGTACGAGGCTCAAACTTACATTTCATCTTCTGCTCCGGCTGCAGTAAACAAGAGTCCCTCTGAGTCCAGTGAGTGCTGTACATGTGTGTGTGTGTGATTGTGTTTGTGTGGACAAAATGTAAATGTTCCCTTTTATAGCTCAGAGTATGACACATCACCTGAGTCATCAGCCATCGTTGCAATTCAAGCATCTACGCCCACGCCGGCCAGCCACCCCTCTCCAACCCCCCCTTTATCTGAAAAAAAGAGAAGCTTGAGGTGTCTTTGTTTGTTGGAGTCGAGGTTAGAAACGTGGGTCCTAGGGAAAGTCATCGTTGGGATTTCTGGGTGTTTTCACCTCATAAACTCAGAAATGTGTCAGAAAGTAAACAAACAGGAAAAGGAAGAAGAAAGTGGCTCTTGTCCGGCTGATGAATAACAATTTACTACCTGAAACCCTCAAAAGTTTTCTCTCCTCATCGTTGGGAACTTTGTTGTTTTTGTATAATAGAATCAGGAAACTGGTGATGTCACAAGAATTAAACAAACCCTTTTAAAACCAAACCAATTCAAACTTCTTCAGTTTGTTTCCAGCAAAAATAAAGTTGAAGCTCAGGGAAACGTCTTGGTGCGGAGGCGATGCGTCACGTCGACTCCTCGTTACTGATTGTGACGTTTCAGAGCGGGAAGATGAAATCCGTTTCTGCAAAATCGGGACGAAAACATCGACAAACAGTCGATTAAAACGGCTTTTCTGTGGAGTCATCCTGAAACTTCATTCTGTGGAAACACGTCAAACTTCTGCAACGCTGGAACCAAATCTGGTCAAAGTTTGCTTCCAATAAAGATCGTTTGTGCGTTATTTTATGAATGTGTTATTTAGCTTGTGTGAACGTGTCTTTCTTTTATTTCTGTGTTTTACGACCCCCGGCGTGCCCAGGCGTGGAGGATCTGTAGCCTCACCACCAGAGGTCCCTGATTCCTCCACGCTTGTCCCAAAAACACGTTTAATGTTGAGAAAATAAAACTTTACGCATTTCTAAATCACCGCAAAAACACACGAGTACATTTATTTTATTTGTAGCTGATTTTTGGCCTCCTGGAGGGCAGCAGGAACATTATTAAGCAGTACTCTCTCTGATTTGTGAGGCGATCTCTAAGATAAAAAGCTCTGGCGCTCCTGTTTCCAGAATTTTTACTTTGAGTGCATGGACCTAATTTTCACTTTAGAAGTGGGGGGAGCACGGGGGGGTGGGGGTATCTTTACAGTATGCTCTAATGGGAAACAGGCTTCAACACAAACGGTTGTTTTCTGCTTGGTCCTAGAGCTCAACCAGTGTCAATTTAATATAGCGTAATATTGTTTTTGGATGGTAAAAAGTGCAGGGGTCAAACCTTGACTTTGGAAAAAGTGGGGGGGACATGTCCCCCCTGTCCCCCCCCCAAAATTACGTCCATGTTTAAGTGACTCAGAACATGAGAACATTGATCTCATGCAAAGACGGAACCAGCTCAGTGGCCTAGTGGTAGAGTGTCCGCCCTGAGACTGAGAGATCAGGGGTTCGATTCCTGGTCGGGTCATACCAAAGACTTAGAAAAAATGGGACCCAATGCCTCCCTGCTTGACACTCAGCATTAAGGGGTTGGATTGGGGGGTTAAACCACCAAATGGTTCCCGAGCGCGGCTGTGTCTGCAGCTCACCGCTCCCCCAGGGGGTGGGTCAAATGCGGAGAACAAATTTCGCACACACATTAGTGTGTGTGACAACTGATGGGACTTTAACTTTTAACTTTAATTCAGATATAATATAAATAATGTTGGTAAACATCGATTATCGGCCAACAACTGCAGTTTTAATGTCAGATATTGAATATTGGACATTGATACCAGCCCAGATTTTCATATCGGTGCATCTTTGGGTTGACAATCAAGCTGCATGTTTTTGTCATGCGGGTGGAAACCCACACATGCACGGGGAGAACATGCTAACTCCATGCAGAAGGTCTGCAGCTGGGATTTGACCCTGCAACCTTCTTTCTACGAAACCACATCTCCACAAGAAGTTTGCAGTTTCAAACGCAGCGTTGTTTTCACACACTTTAACAAACAGCAGTGAGTTGGTTCTTCGCTGTGTTCGGTCAGGCTGCATGTTAGCGGTCGCTCTGTTGCCTTTCAGCACGAAGGTTGCAGGTTCTACTCCCAGCTGGAGCCTGTCTGCCTGAGGTCTGCATGTTGTAATCATGCAAGTGTGGAAGTCCCACCCACAGACCACGCATGCGCAGTAGTTCAGCCCCGTGCGCTCTACGCTGCAACGTCACGGTGGTCGAGTGCGTCCGGTTCCTCGCAAACCCTGAACAGGAACAAGTGCGTAGATAATGACTGGATACGTTTGGTGCAGCTTGCATTACCAGGCAGACGATATTTTCACTTCCTTGTTTCCTTGTGGTCTAGTCCAAGTTGTTGCAAAAGCGTTGCGTCACATCCATTGATGGAATTAACCAGTTTCTGTAACGTAACAGCTGAATAGTGAGTTTTGCTTCATTGAGCCGTAGTTTCAATGAGCTGACATTGTTGCAGTGTCCCTTTTCCATGGTGCTTTGGAGCATGAAGGTGGAATCTTATTGTCTCAACGTGGAGCTAAACACGACAGATCCATTTACAGAGACTTGGAAAGACATGAAACTGGCACCGAAAACATTAAAGAGCAAGTCACCCCCAAACCACCTTTATTTTCCTGATAAACTATATAAATGCGTGTGTAATTGTGCTGCAGACACGTGTCGTCAATAGTTTATCACTTTAGTGCATTTTAGTTAAAATTTAAATTTTCTGCCTAAAACTGTCAGTGTTGTGCCGTCGTCAGGTAAAAACTCTGCACTGCATTTTAATTTAAACCTGCCATCGCTATTGGCTAAGAGGTACCCTAAAACGTTAGCTGGTACCATATGATGTCACAATGTTGTTGTGAGCCTGCGTGTGTGTGTGTGTGCGTGCGTGCGTGCGTGCGTGTGTGTGTGTGTGTGTGTGTGTGTGTGTGTGTGTGTGTGTGTGTGTGTTAGCGGCTATTTTAGTACTCTCTCTGATTTGTGAGGCGATCTCTAAGATAAAAAGCTCTGGCGCTCCTGTTTCAGGAAGTAGAAGTCAGCTGGAGGAGTGGGGGGGGGACGGCAGGATTTACAGTTGTACTCATTCATATTCATGATATACGGACATCTTTTCTCTGATTGGCTAACAGCAAAGTGACTCTTCCGCTGCCGTTGTTCGCTCTTCTGTCATGGGTAAAAAATGCAACGGTGATGTGTTCCGCCATGATGTGGAGTTGCCAATGGTAACGGTCAGTTTCTACTAGCTAGGACGTTCTCTGTTCTCTTCTGGAGCCAAGATGGATGAGTCCATGAGTGCAGGACCTAGGGCTAGAGGACTACCATCACACGCACAGATACTCGGCGGTAAAACTCTCCTTCTTTGGAGTCCTTTGAGGAAAGACGTCTCTGAAACAACAATATTTCAATCATTTTGTTTAAAACAAATAAAACATGTGCTGGTTCTTATAAACTGTTGTAAATCTGAACTTACTTAAGCCGTTTTATCACCAGGAGTTTCACGACCCGCCGACTGGTTTTTCTCACCTTTACCAGTTTGACAAATTAATCCGATCGCAGTTTATGAAAACTGACAGATTATACAACAACCTCCATCCACCTGTCAAGGATTCCCAGACATCCCTCTACTTAGTCACTACTTCTAGCTCATCTCATGAGGAATCCTGAGTTCCCTCCTGAAGGGACATGTCCAAAACATGCCCCTTGAAAGGCGTCCACACCAGATGCTCAAAACCACCTCTACGGGGTTCTTCTGAAATGGAGAAGCAGCTCTGAACCTCCTCTCTCTCTCTCTCTCTCTCTCTCTCTCTCTCTCTCTCTCTCTCTCTCTCTCTCTCTCTCTCTCTCTCTCTCTCTCTCTCTCGCTCGCTCTCTCTCTCTGCAGGGAAAGCTGATTTTTTACTGATTGTTTCTCTGGTCTGACTGCAGGAGGCAGAGCGGGTTGCCCAGGAATCGGAAGGTTGCGATCCCAGCTCCTGCCAATGTCACTTAACCCACCTTGCCTGCTGGTGGTGGTCGGGGGGCTCGGTGGCGCCTCTGTCAGCGCGCCCCAGGGCAGCTGTAGCTACATCGTAGCTCACCACCACAAGTGTGTGAATGGGTGAATGACGGATTATGTTGTGAAGCGCCTTGCGGGGCTGTAGAACCATGGACGTAATTTTGGGGGGGGGGACAGGGGGGGACATGTCCCCCCCACTTTTTCCAAAGTCAAGTTTTGACCCCTGCTCTTTTTACCATCCAAAAACAACATTACGCTATATTAAATTGACACTGGTTGAGCTCTAGGGCCAAGAGGAAAACAACCGTTTGTGTTGAAGCCTATTAGGGCATACTATAAAGACACCCCCCCCCCCCCCCCCCCCCCCCCCCACTTCTAAAGTGAAAATTACGTCCATGTGTAGAACCCTAGGACTATACAAATACAGGCCGGTCCAATATCTCCGGTTGGATATTAACATCCTGTTGGATCTAGATTTAGCGGAATGCTGTTAAATAAAAAGCCAGAGATCAGTGGGGGTCACCAGAGGAAGATCTGTCCTGAATGAGTGAAACTGAGGAGCATCTACACTGGGAGGGGTGGTGACCAGGTGGGAAGCAGCCGGGTCGGTGAGCAGATCAGTGGAAATAAAACACATTAAAGAGGAAAGTAAAATTAGAAATGACTCAAAATGACTTCACCTGACAAAACTAGATAAAAATGTCTTCTCTGTGTTTTCCTCTGAGTCAAACCACTCCATCATTACTGATGTCTGTGTGCTAAATCATCCTGACTTCTGCAGCCTTTCTCCAGAACTTTTACTTTGAGAACGTTGATCTCATGCAAAGACGGAACCAGTCACTCATCAGATTAATCTGCTTTAATCTGGCTGCAGACACAATCTCGCTGTCCAACAGTAGAAAAACGCGTTTGCTTCCGTTGTTGTTCGGCTCCCTTGTTGCATTCTCGCCCCGGAGATAACTGAGATGACCTTACTTTGTTAAACGGGTCGATGATATAAAATACACTTCCTGTACTCGCCTCTGCAGCGTCGCTGCTAGTTATCGAACCAGATGTTGCACGGGATTGAAGAGGGAATGAAACGAGGTGACACTCATGATTTCCAGATGTTGTTTTAGCACACGCTGCAGTGGCATTCAGGTGGATCAGCGCAGCGGCTCGGAGGGAAAACGGATCTTTGGAATTCCAGAAGAGGAGCTGGAGCAACTTCAGCTTCTGTTCGATAAGTCGCGACTCACTCACGAGGGTTGAGTCAGTCACAGCTAACGCGTCGGCTGAAAAACGGCTACTTCGACGTAATTGGAGCATCGTGATTCCACTTTGTTCATTAACGGCGGTTTGGCTGGAGGGAAACCGCGTCGTCAGGGTGGATCTAAAGGGCTGAGTGATGTTTCAGGGGTTGCCACCAAGCCACCTTTGCTGCTTCTAGAACAGGGAGGTCCAAACTTTTCAAGACGAGGGCCAAACTCACGAAGTTAAAACTCCTCACGGGCCACAAAAATCACATTTTTTAAGGCCACTGAAAAGAAAAGAAATAATGCTGAGAAAAAAAAGTCAGAATTCTCTTTTTCTTTTTAGTGGCCCTCTTCTGTACGAAAAGGCCTAAAATAGATATTAGTAAAAATTACAACATAAAATATAACATATATGAATTTATATCAACAGTCTCCCAGAGAGACTTAACACCACAATTCTAAAAATGCTAGTGAGGGCCACACTAAACCACTCCGAGGGCCGCAAATGGCCCCCGGGCCGCACTTTGGACACACCTGTTCTAGAATATCGATAATCAGACTCCGCCCACCCTGCAGGAGAACGCATGACTTAGTGTCATCACTTCCAGTCAGCTCAAAGCGGGGGGATGGGGGGGTCATGTAAAATGCCGAAGCCGTGACCTTTGGACCGGTTAGAACCACCACGTCATGACGACCGCCGGGTCTCGTTGGAGATGATGCCATATGCCGTAATGACGTGTGTGTTCAGTTTTTGCACACCCAGACTGGCTTGTTTCATCACTTCCCCAACCGCCCACGCGCCGGAAGCGTCTCACTAGCAGCTCCCTGGCCCTTTCTCTCTCGTCTGACCTCTGCTGAACGGAGGAATGTGAGGAATGCAGCTTTGAATGAGGGAGAGTGTGAGACAGCAGCATCCGTGTGTGGCATCCCGCGTTTGGGAAGCCCACTGAAACAGTTTTCGTGACGTCACTCTCAACAAAGGAGGAATTAAGGGGGACAAAAGAGACAAACGGTCAAAAGAACAAAAACGATCCACTGAAGCTTGTACACAAGCACATGAAAGGAGACGATCCGGCAGGAAGACTTGACCCAGAAGGATATTTTTAGGGATCCAAACGCCCCGTGACCTCTTTTGTGACACCGGTTGAAATAATCACATTAAGCTGGAATTCAGCCGGGCATCCAGAACACAGCCCGGTGTTCCTGCAGACGGCAAACGGAGCGCGTCATCGAAGTCTGGAAGTTTTTTTTTTACATTTTGGGAATGTGAGGTTTCTGTCTGAGACCCCACCGTGACTCTGATCTCACTCTAACGGGGTTTATGACTTCATGTATGCGTTTAACATGTGGCGGGGGGCCTTTTTCCTGTGAGAGAACGTTCTCCAACAGAACACGGAACGTTTTCCCACGGGGATGGAAGAATGAATGTGGTTGTGAAAAGCAGGCGATTCGACAGCATGACTAATGTCATCAACTCTGCGCCAGAGTCATAAAGAACTAGCAGCAGATGCTAGGAGAGGAGCCGGGTCCCATTGAAGCGATAATGGCCCTTTGGGTGGAAACGAGATAATTCATCATCCATGCCAGAGCTGAGGCGGGAAGCTTTCCAAAGCTTTCAGAGGAATTTCTGGGAGGGGGGGAAAGTGAACGGGAGATGCCATGGCTCTATTCTCTCAGTTGGTCAGCATACCGCCACTGCCTCAGCAGCGAGTGACGTCACAGGTCAGCGCCAAAAGGCGTCGGCAGACTTTAGCTTATCCATCGGACCGGGGAGCGTAAAAACAGCCATTAGTGACCAGAAGAAGTGTCGTCGTCTACGCCGCTCTGTGAAACCACAACGCACCGTGAGTTATGGCGGTGTGTGTGTGTGTGTATGGGGTGGGGGGTGTTCTACCATATTTTGTGGCATTTGGAGTTTTGAAACGGCAATTTTAAAGCAGCATCAGCGCTACTTATCTTCTCTTTCTTTCCATTCTGCTTCTCAAGCATCTCTTCCAGGTCTACAAACACCAGTTGTTTGGCGGCATCTGCCGGAGTCACAACCAATCAGCATGAGGTAACCACAAGTCCCGCCCAGCGAGGCTCCCGATTAGAAACCCCAGTTCAGGAACTCTGTTGGTTCCCAAAACGGTTCGGAAAACGTTCCTTTCAGGCCGGTCTGGTCAAAAGGAGACAGAAGTTTGCTGCAAAGGTCCGGGAAAATTACCCGGAAGTTCCGAAAGTGGGAACGGGCCTCAAGATGCAATTTTAACATTTCTGGAGGAGAAAATAGTTCCTGGAAACCCTGAACATTAATGTTTTTGTCTAATTTAAACAACAAACATCAAACTGCTGGACCCTACGGCTCATTTATGTCAACATTTCCACAGATTAGGGGCAACAATCTGCATCACAGCAGCTCTGGGGTGATTTTAGCTGAAATGTCCACCTACCAGTCCCACACAGAAACCAGATCAAACAAGTTGCAGGCTTCAGCCTTTCTGCTTTGAGAACTAATGAGGCCGCAGTGACTTATTTGTTTTTCTGTGTCACTGAAGCTCGTTTGAAGCGATTCTAGTACAATCTTGTCTGGAAGCCAGCGGGAAACGAAAGTGGCCGCTTTGCTAATTCTAGCATTGCTCCTCACCCGTCAGCCTTTTTTCTGCACCTTTTTATAAAGACACCGCAAAAAAACCCCACTAAAACTGCAAAGTAATTTCATTTCTTTTGATATGACCCATTAATCCATTTAAGTCACATATAAGGACATGAAGTCATGCTACCAGAGCAGACGTCTCCCAGATTTATTAATTATAAAACAATATAATTACATAAATAAATAACTTTAATGACAAAATCCTGTTAAGTTTGGAATTAATTATTTTGAGTTAATTTGTGGAGCCGTTGCAAAATAATGACCCAATCGAGAACATGAGATGTCAAGTTTATTTTAGGTGGCATTAAATTGAATTGAATTTAATTTAATAATATTATTAAATGTAATTTAATATACAATTTCTGTTTCATAAAGTGTAATTAAATTCAAAGAAATAAACGTGTCAAATGAGATAAAATGAATTATAAAAAATACATGAGTTTTTAAATTAAAAGGAAACAAATAGAATAAATAAAAATTAAATGAAACAGAACATAGAATGCATAAAGCACAGACAGAAAAAAACTAAACAAATAAAAATAAAGAAAACAATGTCAAACAAGAGGAAAAATAAAAGCAAACTATAACAAATTCAGTTAAAAATACAAAACATTTTTTATGGAAACAAATAAAACAAACAAAAATTTTATAAACAAAACATAGAAAAAATGCGTAAATAGTCAAATAAAGTAGAGACAGAAAAAACAAAGACGTATAATTAAATAAGGTTATATAAAATAAAAAATAAAAGCAAACTATAACTAAATTAAATGAAACAAAAACTATCAAATAAAACAGAGAGGAATAGAATAAACATAAACCAAATAAAATCAAACACTGTAACAAAACGTAACTAAATCAAAAATATAATAAAATAAAGCACAGAAAGAACAAACTAAAATAAAGCGAAATAAAAACAAAATATAAAAAATAATATTAATCAAAAATTATAATTCATTTAAACATGCAGAACAAATTCTAAAAATATTAAAGGCAACAATTAAACTAATAAATGAACTAGATTTAATTAATAAATGTGCTCTGAGAAATAAACGTGTATTTATTCCCCTCCCACCAGTTTTCTGCCACCATCTCACCTCCTGGTCTCTCTCACAGGAACCTGGACTCAAGTTCAGACATGTGGGGACATGTTTGGACATGAATCCACTTCCTGGTTGCCCCACATTCCTCTCCGATCCTAGACGGTTTTCACACCAGAGACCTGAAACATTCCAGAGGACATTCCGGAGCAGCGAATGACAAAATGCAGATGCTCAAAGCTTCCCAGGAAGTTTACATAAACACAAAGCTGCTGATAAGCTGACGTTCTCAGCAGGCGATTAAACGGGTTTATTCCAGTTCAGCTTCGTCTGCTGTGTTTCTAATCTGCAGGGAATTTCTTCTCTTCTAAAATCATTTTATAAATCGGGAGAGGATCGTGTCCGAACTGAAAATTCTGTATTTAATAAATGAAGTTCAATATTAACCGAAAGTTGATAAATAACTGAAGAGGTGAGATGGATTAGGCCGTAGGCGTGACTTTTGTGTAATAAGGGAGTTTATTCGTCACGTTGGATTATTTGTCTGAAGCAAATAATCAATGAAGCTTAAATTCAGTCATTTGATGACATAAACGTGGGGATGAGTTTGTAATAAAGCAGATTATTCGTTTCATGTCGGATTTTTTGCACACGGCCCTAAACAGTCTGCTCCATCAGAACAAAAGAAGTTTACAGAAAACCAAAAGTCTTTGTGTTGCGTTATGATCACTGCTGGTTGCGAACGCCAGCGCGTCTCGATTACTGCCGTCTGACAAAAGCTCCTTGATTAAATCTGGTGGAATTCTCATAATGTCTTAAGTGCAACAAGCTTCAGATAATCCTATTCAAGATGTCCACAAAAAGGTTAATTTCTTCTCATATTGGATCCATTAAAAAAGGGAATTTGCATAATCCAAGAGAGAGATCACAAATGCATGGATCACTGTGTGCAGGTCGAGTCTAGTCAAGATGGACTTCATCTTTGATAGCCGGCGAAGCCGGAAAAAGCAGGATCTAACCACCTGGCTAATGTGGGAGTCCATCCGCAGCTCTGGGTCCAAAACCACCCCCAGGTTAGTGCTGGTTGGGTTCACTAAGCTGCGAAAATACGGTGGCAGGACAGGACTAACTGCAGTGGGAGAGGGAGGAACAACTAAAAGAGCCTCCAACTTAGACTCGTTCAAATGTAAAAAGTTATTATAAACTTAATTATTTATTATTAACGCAACATCCTGTGATTCTCCTCCAAAACCCCTAAAAGCAAACAACCTCCAGTTATGACCAACAGTCACTTATTCCTGCATCCTCTCTTGGAAAAGCCTTTATCTCTTGCAGCATGCACGGAGCTAACGAATGTTTCCACCTCGTTTTCTGCAGAAACGCTGCAGCGTGTCATGGTGATTTTGTGAATTCTGCTGAAAAAATGTACATTTTTTTCTGCTTGATATGAAAAAAAGACTCAATATAGGATATTAGTCATCATGGCTTCCTGCTACAGTGGAACAGTGTCGTGATGAGTTGCAGTGACTGGACTGAGACAGGACGGCCGTGTCCAAAGTCAGATTCATGTCTGAGAGACTTCAGTCGCGCTGCCTCCTGCTGCGTCCATCAGGTGGACTCCAGGCACCTGGAAAGAGTTGGAATGAGAAGGAAAAGCAAACACAGGAAGGACTGTTCTCCAAACACCACAAGGCCGAAGGTCAAATCATCATCATGTCTAATAATTAAACGTCAGGTTTGACACGCTGAAGTGAAATTAAGACGATTTCTAGGAACAAAAGTTAGACATTGGAGGTGGAAACCATTACAGCGAGGGGAAAACGATGATTTATTTTTATCACTGATCACTTCAACGGGAAGAAAAACAAAAGACAAACATAAACTATTAATGAGAATAACCCTGGAGGTTCGTCACGGGACTTTTAGCTTTCAGATGAAAGAGATCTTTAGTTTGGGAGAAATTCCTCAAGTTGTTTTGCAACCAGGTACTTTTTACTTCACTTAGATTTTCCTCCAAACTTCCCTGCTTCCGTGTTTACTCAGGGATTTTATTTCACTGAAGCATTTTTCTTTTTTTTCCAGGAAGCCGTGGTGAGCATGCCTTCAGCTGAGAAGTCAGAATCATCAGGACCTTGGCTTTATTTAACCTTTTCATGTTATTTTGATTTGCTTCGTTATTTCCATACCTGGATTTTCAGTTTTCACTTCATTTGTGCATCGTTTATTTTGTGCATCGTTTATTTTGTGCATCGTTTATTTTGTGCATCGTTTATTTTGTGCATTATTTTGTACATCGTTTATTTTGTGCATTGTTTATTTTGTGCATTATTTTGTGCATTGTTTTTTTGTGCATCATTTATTTTGTGCATCGTTTATTTTGTGCATTATTTTGTGCATCATTTATTTTGTGCATTGTTTATTTTGTGCATTATTTTTTTTGTGCATCATTTATTTTGTACATCGTTTATTTTGTACATCGTTTATTTTGTGCATTGTTTATTTTGTGCATTATTTTGTGCATTGTTTTTTTGTGCATCGTTTATTTTCTGCATCGTTTATTTTCTGCATCGTTTATTTTCTGCTTCGTTTATGTTGTGCATTATTTTGTGCATTGGTTTTTTGTGCATCGTTTATTTTGTGCATCGTTTATCTTCTGCTTCGTTTATGTTGTGCATTATTTTGTGCATTGTTTTTTTGTGCATTGTTTATTTTCTGCTTCGTTTATTTAGTGCATTATTTTGTACATCATTTATTTTGTGCATCGTTAATTTTGTGCATCGTTTTTTTGTGCATCGTTATTTTGTGCATTGTTTATTTTGTGCATTGTTTATTTTGTGCCTCGTTTATTTTGTGCCTCGTTTATTTTGTGCACGAGTTACTTTCTGCTGCTTAACGTTCATTTTGAAGCTGTGAGCACATCTCATATGAGTGTTCGACATTTTCTGCGCCATTAAAACATTTTCTGTTTCTTTCTCCCTTCAAATGGAACAAACTTCTGAACACCAGCGACGCTGAAACACTCGTCTCTTTACAGAACGTTTTCAGAACCGCCCCGAGGGAATCTCTCTGCTGTTTTACATAATATTTAACCGGAGGCAGAACATGGATATATAACCTACCCTAATGAAACCTGCAGGCCTTTGACATTTAAACTGTTTACAAAAGGAAAGTTTCTTGCATCTCAGCTGAACTTTCCTGGTTCACTAAAGAATTTATGCGTTCAAACTCTCCTGTGAGTCTAATGGATCCATTCTTGGCATCAGAACTGGTCTGAAACTGCAGCAGAGCAGGATTATTTTCCAGCATTTAGATGGAAAAAGTTATTATAGGTGTTAAAATGATCAGAAATTAGCTTTTAATTTGAAAAGGTGGCGTGTAAAGCGTCCAGGTGAGAAGAGAACTGAAACCGAAGCTAGTTTTATGTTTAGCTTCGGTTTCATCCAATAATTCCAAATTACGACTATTTTCCCTTCATTTGACCTAATCTCATCAATCAAATCAATTTCAGGGTTAGGGCCTCCAGCCGTCTCCTCCCGCAGCAGCAGGTTGTGAATCATCGTTCGTTAAGCTGGATTTTATCAGGTTTGGGAGAATTCTCTGACTGGTTCTGAATCAGAAGTCGTGACCGGGAGGATGTCGCCACGGCTCTTCTCGGTCCAGCATTAAAGCTCCACGGTGACGACTTTCATAGTTTAGATAAAAGTGTAAAATGAGTAACGGATGATCTGAAAATTAGGGCTCGGTCCCTGAAAGCTTCTGCAAAAGCAGCGAGTCTTTTATTCTGTGATGAAGGAAGCTGGAGTAACTCCCGTTAGAGGTCATCGCACTGGAGATCAGCACCTCCTCCTTTTTCTTCTCCCAGCAGGTGGTGGAGGCTTCTTCTGGAAACACCGTGGAGCTAAAGCTCCTCTCCTACGCCCGTCTCCAGGAAGGTTCCCCTGTCATCATCCATCGAGGTCACTGACCTCTCCCAGTGTGACTGGGCTATGACTGGTCCATCGTCGTTGCAACCTTCACCCATCATCAGGAGATTCAGATCACAACCAAAAAGTGAACTGATGCTCCTCAGGAGGACCAGGCTCTGCTTTAGAGACAAGGTGAGGAGCTTCATCCTCAGGGAGGAGATTATAGTAGAGCTGCAGCTCCTCCTCAGTAACATCTTTGGAGGATCTGGAGCAGCACTGGTCTTTTCTCCTAAACTCAGATTTTAGATAAGATATTCAAAAGAATGGATTTTTGTTTCTAACTAAACACGTTACTGAACTCTAAACCTAATCTTGTTTCTCGTGGACGGCACGCGTGTCGGAGGAGTGAAGAAAAGTCTAATTATTGTTGATTTATTGACATTGTTTACCAACCAAATGCCCTCCTCTGGAGTTTTATTACTTCCACCAACACCAGGTTGTGGCACGGCTTTCTCCATTAAAGCTGCCAAGTTACAGAAAACTTCCTCCTGAGCTGAAATCCCCTTCAGATCCTGACGTGTTGAAACACGTGGACATTATGACACACCAAGACGCTGTCTCTTCATCTACAAAAAAATAAATAAATGAAGATGGAAGGAATGAAGGTGAAAAGGAGAAATTTGTCAGCAAAGAATGAGTTTCTGAATGAGTGCAACTTTCTTTCATCTGTTGCTTAAAAGTAGATTTTCTTTCCTGTTGCAACAGGATGAAATCACATCCTGTACACGTCACTCTGCACAGGTGGTGCTTTTATCTCCTCACAGATCAAACATCAAAGCAGGAGATCACAGCGTCTTCCACAAACTCCTCAGTCTGCTGCAGCCCGTGGTCCAGGGCTGCCCCCTTCGGTCAGCTTTGAGACGCAACAGATCAGGAACAAAGTAGATTTTATATCCATCCATTTTCATCCGCTTATCCGGAGTCGGGTCACGGGGGCAGTAGCCTAAGGCGAGAGGCCCAGACTTCCCTCTCCCCAGCCACTTGGGCCAGCTCCTCCGGGGGAATCCCAAGGCGTTCCCTGGCCAGGTGAGAGACATAGTCCCTCCACCGTGTCCTGGGTCTTCCTTTAGGTCTCCTCCCGGTTGGACGTGCCCAGAAAACCTCACCAGGGAGGCGTCCAGGAGGCATCCTGACCAGATGCCCGAGCCACCTCAACTGGCTCCTCTGGACGTGGAGGAGCAGCGGGTCTACTCCGAGCCCCTCCCAAATGACCGAGCTTCTCATCCTATCTCTAAGGGAGAGCCAGACACTCTTCGGAGAAAACGCATTTCGGCCGCCTGTATCCGCGATCTCGTTCTTTCGGTCATTACCCAAATCTCATGACCATAGGTGAGGGTAGGAACGTAGATGGACCGGTAAATCGAGAGCTTCGCCTTCTGACTCAGTTCTCTCTTCACCACGACAGACCGGTACAACGCCCACATCACTGCAGATGCAGCACCAATCCGCCTATCGATCTCACGCTCCAGTTTTCCCTCACTCGTGAACAAGACCCCGAGATACTTAAACTCCTCCACTTGGGGCAGGACCTCATCCCTGACCCGGAGAAGGCATTCTACCCTTTTCCGAATCAAGACCATGGTCTCAGATTTAGAGGAGCTGATTCTCATCCCTGCTACTTCACACTCGGCTGTGAACCGCTCCATCAAAAGCTGAAGATCACGTTTTGATGAAGCCAACAGGACCACATCATCTGCAAAAAGCAGAGACCTGATCCTCAGGCCACCAAAATGGATGCCCTCCACACCTTGGCTGCACCTAGAAATCCTGTCCATAAAGGTTATGAACAGAATCGGTGGCAAAGGCCAGCCTTGGCAGAGTCCAACTCTCACTGGGAACGAGCCCGACTTACTGCCGGCAATGCGGACCAAGCTCTGACACCGGCCATACAGGGACCTAACAGCCCGTATCAGAGGACCTGGTACCCCATACTCCCGGAGTACCCCCACAGGCCCCCCGAGGGACGCGGTCAAACGCTTTCTCCAAAGCCACAAAACACATGTAGACTGGTTGGGCAAATTCCCACGCACCCTCCAGGATCCCCCCTAAGGGTATAGAGCTGGTCCAGTGTTCCCCGGCCAGGACGAAAACCACATTGCTCCTCCTGAATCTGAGGTTCAACAATCCGACGGACCCTCCTCTCCAGAACCCCTGAATAGACCTTACCAGGAAGGCTCAGGAGTGTGATCCCCCCTGTAGTTGGAACACACCCTGTGATCCCCCTTTTTAAATAAGGGGACCACCACACCGGCCTGCCAGTCCAGTGGGACTGCCCCCGATGTCCACGCGATATTGCAGAGCCGCGTCAGCCAACACAGCCCAGATACAACACAGATATAGATAGACATAGATTTTATAGGAAAATACTAAATTTAAATTGAAATTAAATCCTCTTTTATTATCTTTGTTGCTCCAAAACCAAAATTCCACTCAACAAAATGACACTGAGCATCAAAATGTCTCTTTTATTTTCATTTACATTAAGAAAGTTTAATTTCAAACATGATTTGATTTCATTCATCAGGTTTGAACTTAATGGACAAGCAGGTCTGACTATTATCAGCTAAACAACAGAAAAGTGAGGTTTGAGTTTCTAAAAATGTTGCAAAAAAGCTGCAAATAAAGATAAAAAAAATAAGTGAACCCAAGATGGAGCCTGGAGGGACCTCAGAAGGCAACGGAGCTGCAGCAGAAGAGTTTTAGCAGGATCACAGAATTTAAAAAAAAACATCAGTATCAGTAAAATCTGGGAAAGTAGGAAATAAATCTAAAGAATCATTCAGATGCCTTCGATTATTTTCTATTTCACGTCCCTTTAGAGGACAGATTTTGTCTCACACTCTAAAACTGCTGTTTACAGACAAGATTTCCCACCATGAGTTATTTAAACTTCTACCAGTAGTTTGAAACAGCCAGCATCTCTTTTAGTTTAAACCATGTTTCTGTTAACATTAGAGCAACAGCGCCCTCTGCAGGTTAGACTGAATAGCTTAAGGGAAGATCATCTTTAGTTAGTTAGTTAGTTAGTTAGTTTTATGAGCAACTGATGAGTTCATTTGCAACAAACAGATCATTTGAGACCTGCCCGGAGTTCCTTAAGGCTTTGGATGATGAAGGGCTGTGTTGGTCCTCTTATTTAAAAAGGGGGACTGCAGAGTGTGTTCCATCTATAGGGGGATCACACTCCTGAGTCGCCCTGGTAAGGTCTATTCAGGGGTTCTGGAGAGGAGGGTTTGTCGGATTGTTGAACCTCGGAAACAACGTGGTTTTCATCCTGGCCGTGGAATACTGGACCAGCTCTATAACCTTAGGGGGTCCTGGAGGGTGCGTGCGTTCGCCCAACCAATCTACATGTGGTGTGGATTTGGAGAAGGCGTTCGACCGCACCCCTCAAGGGGCGAGGGAGGTACACCGGCAGTATGGGGTACCAGGGGCCTCATTTATCAAGCTTGCTTACGCACAAAACGGGTTCGGAAAAC